GGCGGAAACCGCTCAAGCCTCTTATATGGCTAACAAGCCAATCGTTAGCCGCCACGTGTGAATAATTTAGCACTAGCCAATCACGGGGAACGAATTTGCATACCGGTGGCGGGAACTCTTTTGCACCGTGCATTCCTCTTGCAACTCGAGCAATGCACCCTGCAAAAGAAGCTGCAGAAAAGGCGGGAAACTTGTCCCTGCACCGGGGTTTCCTCTTGCTACAGGAAACTCTCCCGTGCAATGCTCTGCAACTTGACGGGGATAATTCTGGTGCCGAAGCACTCACACAATCATGCCTTTTGGGTCATGACAGTTATGTGGGGTTGTACTTTCTCTATAGCAGCTATTCATTTTATTCAATAGCTCACCTCTGTAAAAAAAATAAAAAGACCTATCTATTATTATTTCTCTGCACATAATTAATGGCTTACTGCCATCCGTTGCCTCACAGCATCTTTGAAATTGTTCCTTCTCTCATGCACATGCTTTTTCCTCCAACATGAGACACAACTCAAAATGTTAATTTAAGGTTCAGAAGTCAACAAACTATCCATCAATATCAACGTGCTGCAAAGGAAGACAAACTGTGGAATGAAAGGACAATTGAATCTTTAAAATGTACCCAGTTTCCTTTGACTAACTGATAGACATTCAGGGATGTTTGTGGTTTAAACTTAAAGATTTTTTTTTTAAAGCATTGAAATATTAAAATGTCTTTAGGACAGTAACCCCATGTTTTCCATCAGCCCCAAAAGTAACTTTTGACAACCTATATAGTGCTTTCTTTTTCACCCTCTTCATCAGACTTTGCCAATCTGTGAGTCTGTGGCTTTGTCTCGCCTTCCTTTAATAAGGATTCTCTCAGGCAAAAAAAAATCTACCTTTCCTATCTTTAGCTCCTTCCTTGACTGAGACCTCATATTTGTCTGCATTCTTCAAAACCATATCATTTTTTACTTTAAACTCTTCCCTATTTCCTACTTTCCTTGTCTGCTAGCTTACCAACTATCATTTCCTCCAAAATATCACCCAGGTATATTGGTATGTAATCCTTACCTGTTCTTTCATCTTCTCCAATTTTAACTACTGCTCCTTAACCATCTCTTGTCTCCCCAGGTACCTGACTATTACATGTGCAATCATCCCCACCTACATTGCAAATAAGAAGCATGACCACATCATCAACATCCGCAAAATAAACTCCATGGTTTTCATATTCACTGTAGGACACAATTTAAAATTACTCTGTCACCAAGTTCAGTTCACCGAGTCAGGGGCCACTTTAACAAAGAAGTTTCTTTATTCATGCAAACAGTACCAGAACAGCCATGATACTCCCTTTTTTGCCTCTCTCTCAAACTCCACCCTTATCCAGCTACATGTAGCAGTAATGTCTTGAAGGGGAACTGAGTGACAGCCTGATCTTTAAAAGCTAAACAAGCCTCAAACCTCCTTAAAATAGATTACCCCTTAAAACAGATTATCCAAAATGTTCTGAATGAGAAATGAGCAGCAGAGTTAGAACCCCTTCTTGCATGACCATGAGAACAAAGGGTCAGAGCCTCTAGTGGGAAGAGGCTACCAAAAAGGATTTCTTTGCAGACGTTTCCTATGGTTGTGTCATCAGACAGATGGAACACATTCTGACCTCCGTAAAATATATGTTGCGCTACTGAAGGAGGATAAAACATATTCCCTCCACCTAAGTCAGCTCCTTACCCAGCCTCTCCCCCACAACTCCCTGCCCTCTGGTCCCAAATCTAGATCCACAGTTCAAAAACACCACCATGGATCCCCAGGGAAGGAGGCAACAGAGCTCAACCTTTGCACACCAATCTTCCCCCTGATCTTACCCCAAATCAAGTTAGACTCTCAGAATCCTATTGCCACAGAACTGCAAGCCTTTCCCTTCTTTCTACATTCCCTACAGCTCGCCTTTAAACCAGGTAAGCTTAACCATTATTACAACTAGATCATGGTAGTGTTGCATTGGAAAGACCTACGCTGGAGGCTCTGAACCTTTGTTCTCATCGTCATGCAAAAAGGGGTTGTAACTCTGCTGTTCCTTCCTCATTCAGATGATTCTGAGTGCTTTCCCAGAAAGCAAAAATAAAAATAAATATCAACTTCCATATAGCCAAACACTCCATCTAACCATTTGGTGAGCTATAAATAACACTCTTTCTCCTATGTAAACTCACAAAAAGGATGAAGTGTTAGGACATGCTAAACAAATGGCTAAATACATGACTTGGAAAAAAGGAACTTGCCTTTCCAAGAGCGTAAGGAAGGACTTGGGGAAGCATGTTGGGAGTTGAGTCAGTGTAAGTACAACATGGAACTCACTACTTTAGGAGTTTCCCAGAAAGCTTCAAATATCCAGCACTTGTCACAAAGCCTAGCCAGACACAGAATCACCTAATGAGGTATAATGAATGTATATTCACCAAAACAGCCAATGTATTTACCATCAGCATTTCTTAATGACAACTTGATGAATAGTGTATTTTCTGTTTAGTGGAGCTGGCTGAGTGGTTGACATTTATCTCTGGTCCATTTAACATACATGATTATGATGATGAACGAAAAGGCTTATTTGCAACCAGTCTTTAAGCAACAAGGAGACAGACAGTCATTACAGCTTGATACACCCCAGAGCTTCCATGGGAGGGTTTGCTATATCTTTTAACAAATCTGTTTTACTAGCATGCTTATTACAGGGTCATTTTGAAAAAGTGCTGACAGTTCCAACGTGCTGGATCTGAGCTGGACACTTTCAAGGACAGACTCAGTCGCAAATCAGTCATTTTTGTTTTTGTAGGTTTGGTTTAAATCCGAGCTGTTCCTCACTGATTGCTCTTTCACTGAAAAGCAGCTTGCATTGTTGAATTCTAAGATCTCAGTCAAGTCAGGACAAGGGACGTTGCCCCCCTCTCAGTTGTTTGGAGTTAACCTTTAAGAAAGGCAGAAAAAACAGGCTATAGTAAAGCTTTCCTGTGGGTTTGCAGTAGATTCGCCCTCCTCTCTATAAAGTTGATTACCAAGCAAACTTGGCAAACAGAGCCCGTTATTATATCTGAGAGAGGTTTACAGCATTTATTGGGACCAGGCACATCCAGAGATCAAGCTGGGACATGGCACAGGAATATAATCTGATTCTCAGTTCACCAATATATACTGTATTATGTATTTAAGTTTGACAGATAATTGCTGCCTTTTTCCTAGATTGCTCTAGGCTTTTTGACAGCACAACTAGGCACAAGCATCTGCCCTCAACAAAACAAGAAAGGATTTTTAGCGACTTTTTTCACCAGTCCTTATCCAGAAAGAGCACCGTGAGGACTTTAGCATCCAGAGCCATCATGGGAAACAAGTGTCCTGTATTTTCCTGAAGGACTGATTGTTCTTTAGCGTAAGAAAACAAAATAGCAGATGAAAGCAAATGCATTTGTTTTGTTTATTAAAATTCATATGAGTCATTTCCAGTGGATGAATATAATTCTTTGTCTGCGCTTTGGGAGGTAGGTTTGTCTAGTAGACAGGGCATCAAGTGTTTGGTAAAAAACCAGTATATGACCATGTATTTAAAGGCTGTCTCATAATGCATGAAGTCATGGGATCTCAACTTAGTCTGCAAAATTAACCTTGATTCTGATATTATCTTTCTTTTGAGCATGTGACCCAAGTTTAGAACTGCTGGTAACAAGGAGGGTATGACAGGAGATGGGTCACTCTGCACATCTCCGTTTCTTATGTTCTTCCTCTAAATCATCTACTGCTTGCTACCATCAATGACAGGATGCTGGGCTGGGGGGTCTGAGTATGGAAATTCATATGTTCTTATGGCTTTACACGTTAATATATGTTAAAGGATAACTACGATTGCAATTTTGTAGGATTTTAAAATAGGAAACAAAAACAGAATTTGATCATAGGCTGCAAGTCATAGGCTGCTAACAGGCACTCATTTCTACTGAGAAGTTTCAGGGAAATTCTTACTGATACGGAAAAAAAAGCCCAGGAGCTTGAGTGTACATGTATATCAGCCCCCTGCCTGGAGACCCCAGGTGAGCTCTCCAGCCAGGAGGCACTAGATGGCTGCTCTCTGGGCCACCCCACCCTCAGGGTAGTTCATTACTTGGACAGCCTGCCCTTTCCTCTCCCTGTGAAGGGAACAGACTGTCAATAGGCAGCCTCCCAAGTTTTAAATCAACTCATGTGCTTGCAGCCTGGATGGGCAGCCCTTTGCATGATTTAAAGCCAGAGGTGCAGGGTAACAGGGCCAGGAATAGACTCCCCAGCCTCGAGTCCCAGCACCTCAGCTTTTATATCACTGCATCTCCAACCCAGCTGGGCAGCACATGCAATGTTTAAAGCTTGTGGCAGAACCTGCCTTCACATCAACTATGATGGTTTGTACAGTGGTGCTCTTGACTTAAGTCTTCTAGATTCCAATAAGCCCAGAGCACATTTTAAGAGTTGAGCCAATGCACAAGTACTTGGCTGAAACACAGCCTTCAGCAAGGTAACATGTAGAAAGATGAGATACATTAATTGGGAATTAGACTGGTTTGTAAGTGGAGGAACAGGAATTTCCCAGGGATTGGGAATATTAATTGCCAAGCATTCAACACAGGATCTGTCCTGATTATCTCATTGGTAAACAATGTAGCAATTTATTTCACTAGACTTCAAAAAGGATGAGCAATCTTTAAGGAGGCGAATGCCTAGCCACAACCCTACAATAGAGTTATCACAGGTGCACGGGCTGGAAGAGTGTCAAAAGGAATTAGCTGACAGTACTCTTTTATGTGGAGGCATTAAAATTAGTCCAAGGGTCTAAGATCGTCAAACCTGCTCATTGGAAATCTTCTACCGACTTGCTGTCTGCTTTGCATTAGAAAATATTCTATAGTCTGTTATACTGGAATGTGTTGTAATTATAATAAATCATGTAAAACAAAACAAAACAAAAAACTGTCTTTTCATTTCAATGTTATTTTTCTCCATGTTGTTTAGATCTTAGTAGTTATTTGATTCTTGCTTTTGGTTTCCTTTTTGGCAGTGCCACACATCTACACAAGCAGCTGTAGAGAAATTACAAAATAGCCCCCGTCTATCTTTGCTTTTATTTTATGGTAAGTGATGTTGGGAAAATAAATCTGAATTGCACAGATGTTCCTTCTTTTCTCTCTGTATAAAATGGTTTATATGACATGCTGCAAATGTAATCTGTTTCATGAAAAAATATTTCTATAACATTTCAGAACTCTTTTAAGAGGCAATGGTAAGTTTATAAATTAAAAAAACAAGAAAAAAAAATCAAGTCCTACCTGGGTCACTAGTTTATTAAAATAACTAGATACATTTTACTGGCCATCATTTGTGAAGTTGTAAAAACTATTCAGTTTTTCAGGATTACTGATTAGCAAGCAACTTAGTTACACATTTTTCCAGGTTCCCAACTAAAATTGCAATTCAGAAATTAAACATTTCATTTCTGAATGCTTATATGTTTCATGAACAGGTGTTTATTAAAGAAATCTGCTATAGTTACAATACACAAATAGACCCCCACACAGGTGGGGTTTTATCTTCACTCCTTTATTCACCAAAAAGGATGTCCTAGTAATTAAGAGGTTAGTGGATTCTCTAAAATGCAAAGAAAAATTTAGTGGCTGGATGGTAGGGCTGTGCAAAATTTCACTGGCAGTTTCGTTTTGACTCGTTTCAAACTCAAAACAGTGAAATTGAAATGAAACGGAGAGCTTCAAAACAGCCTCAAAACAAAACAAGGCAAGTCGAAACATTTTGAAATTTTCTAAACGTTTTGAATTTCGAAGCTCAAGCTGGAATTGCCTGCAGGAAAGCAGAAACTAAAGTAAGGAGAGGGAGGGGGAAGAGGGGGAATGGGGTGGGGGGAAGGAGTGCTCTCATTATGGACTGTGCAGCTGGCCAGTGACTGTCATCCTTTCCTGAGGTCTCTTCCAATCCCAATGCTCTGGGGGAGAGATGGAAAAACTGCATAAAAGGCAGCATTATTTGAACTGCCCTGCTTTCTGTCTTGGTGTCAGTTGAGTGAGGGTGCACCTTAACACACACACAGCGTCACTCACCCATGTCACGAGTTTTGCCTGTCAGCAGTCAGAGGTGCAGGGCCCCAGAACCCAGAGTCCCCCTAGACCTGTCTCCTTAACAGCTGGCAGGCTTTGTGGCCTCAGCAGGTGCTACCACCCCTGCAGCTTTCACCCTGCTGCGCCTTAACACACACACAGTGTCACTCAAGTCACAACTTTGCTTGGCCACAACTTGAGATGCAACTTCCGCCAAACCCCTACACCTATCTCCTTAAAACTTGGCAGGCTTTGTTGCCTCAGCAGGGGCTAGGATGCCTGCAGTTTTGACCCTGCTTAACACATAGATGTGATATGAGTTTTGCTTTCAAGACTTAGGTGCAGGGGTTTCAGGGAACCTGCATCTCAATCTCCCTGACACTTGGCAGGCTTTGTTGCCTCAGCAGGGGCTAGGATGCCTGCAGTTTTGACCCTGCTTAACACATAGATGTGATATGAGTTTTGCTTTCAAGACTTAGGTGCAGGGGTTTCAGGGAACCTGCATCTCAATCTCCCTGACACTTGGCAGGCTTTGTGCCCTCAGAAGGGGCTACCATTCCTGCAAGTTTCATCCAAATCAGGCTAGAAATGACAAAGTTATAGGCTGTTTCGAGCTTCCCCATTATAGCCTATGGGTGAAATGCCGGAACAGCATCAAAACAGCGAAACAGTTTCCACAAAATGAAACGGAGCAGCAGTTTCAAATCAAAACAAACTTCGAAACAAAATGCTGTTCCATTGAAATGCAAGTCGAAACGGAATGGTGCCATTTTGCACAGCCCTGCTGGACAGTATGCTGCAATTAAACATATCAACATAATGCAGAAAACGTACAAGTACCAAAACAAATAAAACATTTAGCTAATGGCACCCTATCTGGATTCACCTCTTCAGTTAACTTGCATTGTCTCTTATCACAGGTATTTGGATTTTATCATCTGAACAGATTCAACAGATGAAGCTCTCCAGAAGTTCATGTTTGCCTGCCCACATGTATCTTCACAGAATTTCTTCCTCAAAAGCTTCCACCTGATGGATTTTATTTGGAAGGAATAATATGACCTAGTTAAGTGTAGTGTCACTTTAATTCTCTCCTCTTCTCCCTCCCAGTTTTTCATAAGCTTAATGGGTGCTTGTACATGTGATGGGGTTTAATCCTCATTAAATTAAATAGGTTTATTAAATTTAAAATGGTTTGTTTTAAATTGAGGTGTCAATGTATAAAGGTGACAGCCTTTAAATTGAATTAAGATCAGTATGCAATTCACATTAAATTAAAGCAGAGGGAGCCACATAACAATCCAGCCTACTGATGCCTTTGGTACTAGATTATAGCAGGGGGCGCTGTCAAACCATTAATCCCTGGACCAGTGGGGGCAAGTGCTGTCAGCCTACTGCAGGGGATCCTTCATGTGTGCTCTACCGCCCCACCCCTCCCCATGCCTACAGCCATTGCCCCAGCCCCAGCCATTGCTCCACACACACCTACTGCACCCTTGGACCACACAGCCCCCATCCCTGCACCATGCAGCCCCACTCCATCCCACCATGTGCCTTGCCCTATGCCCACACTGCACAGCTTTGCCTATCCACCCATAGGTGCCCTGCCCCTTGCAGCCTCCCAGCCCCACCTGGCACTTCCAACTCTCATCACCACGAGGACTCCAGGTGGCCTGTGGTTGGCATTGATCCCCATGCCAAGCCACTTGCATCCTCTCCCACACCCCCAAACCATTTGAACTGCCACGCCATTCTGCCTATGAAAGAAAACACGCCACATCTTTATTTTAAATCTTTAATTAACTTTTTTTTAAGGACAGGACTATATACATTTAAAAAA